ATATTCGAGTTTATTAACTAGCATACAATAAAAGGATAACATTGTTTCCGTGCATCCAATTCTTTATCTAATAAAGGGACAAAAAATGCAAATAATTTCTAATAATAGTAAGTTCAAAGTATTATATGCACCTGATTTGTGAACACGTTCAGAACCAGCAAGATCTACAACAACTAGTTTGCCTTTTCGTAAGATAGGTGGCTTAAAATTACCAACCGAATGAGAACGATTTTCATTTTCAGTAGAAAAATCATCTTCTCTTCCCAAGACAGACCTCTTCACATGTACCTGCATTAAGCCATGTCACTTGTTTGGCCCGACAAGCTATGAAATAATTTCAAATAAACAGTGTGAAGAGATGCAGAACATTCATATCAGAAAGAAAAGATAATAAGAAATCACAGCAATATAGCAAGCTCTTTCATTTACCATGAGAATGGCATGACTGCGGGAAGACTCAGTATTCAGCTTAGTATTAGCAGCAATCCTATGATTTTCCCCCAAGCGTAAGAGGTCGGTGAACTTTTGCTGGTCACGGATCTCCACAACAGATGCCCCTGGTAACGAAACATCACCATTTCTTTGATCTTCGACAATGGGAATATTATCATATGCAGGATTTAGGAGATCCAGGATGGTTTCCATGTATAGCTGCACATATACCAGTAATTCCAGATTAACATTAGAATTATTATTCAATTTCTAAAGTTTTCTGAGGAAGACCAAATAAAATATAGAGAACAAATTAACAAAGGTGACACGATTATTTAATAGTGTGAGAATTACTTAGCAACCTGCAAGTATGAGACTGAAACAGAATCAGTTTCTGAAGAGATATTCGAAAGTATATCCTCCATTGAACGAACCATTATACCACGAGCAGAGGTATCTTCATCACCAAGTCGCCCAAGAGTATATGTCTTTCCAGTGCCAGTTTGACCATAAGCCATCACTGTCCCATTGTAACCATCTAAAACACTCTGGGAAAGAGGGAAATGAACAAAATAATTGCTTTATAATAGGTAGAATACGAATGACATGCAATTGAGGCTAAAACTAAGTATAAACTCAAGTCTTTCTGCAAATCTTTCAACATAAAGGTCCAAGCATATCACAAATCGGTACACATGTAACTGCACACTAAAACCTTGCTGTTTTATAGTCTGACTCCCATAATAACAAAATTTGTATCACAGTTTTCATCTTAATATGTATTACTACCCTATTGTATTATGTGCAGCATATTAGAAGAAGCATTGTTAACTGTGTCACATCTCAAAGTATGACTCTGAATAGGAAAGCTTGAAAACTCTAGCTAAAATAACTACCAATTGTATAACAATCCAATTGTCCATATTATGGACAATTGGAATATGAACATATGAAATCATAACCCCACATTTTTGTACAAGTCCATTGCAAAATTTGTAAAACACGGAAATTCCTCCTATGGTAGTGTTTACGTCCTATGTGTATTAGACCCACACACTTTGGACACCCCCCTGCCACGTGGTGTTTCCAATTTATATATATTTTTGACATTTCCAGCACATGAAGGACACAACATCAACATGCCTCAAAAGCGCCCAACATGACACGTGGCATGTAGATGCTAAAAACCTACCTCGATGATGTGAAAAGCTTCCTGCCAAAATAAGCTAGACACCAGATGGTGTCTCCCCTTGATTATCAATTCATTTAAGTATTCACGAGATTGAGTATAAATTTTTGCAGAATAAGGAAAAAAAATTTGGGGTATAAGTGCGAGGGTAACACCATTATTCATAAGGATTTTGAACTGCTTATGTAGAGGAGGTGTCCCCACATGAGGGGCACGTTCTCTGGCAGTGAACAAAGATCGGTCGAGTTTGTTGCTTCCCAATTTTGGTCTTGTTCGTATTCAAATTTCTCTTACGTTATTCTGCTATAAGTAATTTTTTGGGTACTACCTCATAATGGTTTGTACAACCACGGTCAGCTGGAGTCTAATTGGATGTCTCAGGGATTTATCTCGGCTAGACTTTATTTTTGTTAGCTCGTCCTCCACTTGATGCTTGTTCAGTTGGACCAAATGCCTCGTAGCTACTTGCTTTGACAGGTCTCCTGCCTCCACTCTTGGTCAATCGGTCATTTATTCTCACCAGTGATGGAAACTGGATAGCTAAACTTCAAGTGTATTCTCGTGTCACCTAATTGGATGGAATCTTTCCTCATCCAATTGAACGTATACAACATGTCTAATATTTTTATGTTACTTTTAATTTTAATTCAAGCCCCCAACCCCTCAAGGATATAGAAAGCCCCATCTTCTGACCTTTGGAATTTAGAATTAGGATAAATTCTTGAAAATTTGTGTAGATAGTCAAAATAATGTAAGAATAATTAGGCAAACTTCATATCACTTATGATTGTCATTGAGGAAATTATTAAGCAGTCATTAATTTTGTCCAAAGCTGAATGCAGAACATTGATTTGTTAGACAATTTTGCAGGATCACAGGTACATTCGAAGGATAAGAAATTGATTGGTTATCAGGACACTGTAACTTCAACCCTTTTAATGAAAGATTTAGCTCACGGTAGCAACAGACAAGGCTGATTCAATAAAATATACTACATCATACGGAATTTTCTCCAAACATTCTGTATTAACCCCCAAATGCTATGAGCAAAATACATTGAAATTGGCAAATTAAAATTCCAACTAGAGAACCTCAAAAAAATGGAAGCCAAATATTAATGTCTTAAGAATCAAGTCCACAGAGCTTAGAAAAAATAAAATGCCTCAAAAGACACACCTCGACAACAGGCTTGGCGACAACTTCATAGACACGCTTCTGTGATGAATATTCAGTAAGAACCTCGTCAAACTCATAGGTATCTGAATCCCAATTGTTTTTCCGAAGTTTCAACCTTTTAAGCTGTAAATCAAAAAGTAACAATGATATCACGAGGGATCTATTTTATAAGAGGACCATATTAAAAGTGAGAAAGTGCTATGAAACTCAGGCTGCAACTCCACACAATCAGCAGAATCTGCATCTGCTGCCATCTCTTCAGCATTTCGAGGTCGCAATCTTACAGCGACACGAACTCTTCCGGAAACTGTCCAAGACCATTGAAATATTCCAAATCAAATTTATCATGCGATGTCGGGGGAAATGAAGATTAGAAGTTCAACTTCACACAAAAACAAAGCAATTTCCAGCAGTAACAGTGCTTCATTGATGGAATTCATAGGAAACCATTTCACTCCCTCAGAATGCTCTACCAATTAGGCTGAAACTATATTTTTATTGAATTGAATCTACTGTCAAACCTCTGAGGAAAGAATTTATATGACTTAACCAAGCAAAAAAACTATTTAAAATTAGAGTTTCATAATAAATGTTCATGATCAGTATTACTATTAATGTTTCACTGCCTGAATGCAAAAATCTCATCAAGATTGCAGGTGTATAAGCAATAATCAATAAATAAACTATTACATTTGTATATTTAGTATTTTCTTTCCACGCGACACCCCAAAAAATATTGCCAATTTACAAATGAGTTTGACAAGTGAACAGACGTGTATTTATGAAGCTCTTGAGGCTGCTCTAATCGCAAGGATGAAAGGAAAGATGAGGAGGGAAAACAAAAACTTCAGTTTATCAAAATTGCTTTTACAAATTTTAATTTAATCCTTGCAATTAATTTTCTGTCCTAAACACAATTTCACCAGTCACCGTTATTCAATAGAACGCCCCCTGAACTCCACAAATAATCATATGGTTTATAAGTATTACTAGAGGTTATGACTTACGTGCAGATACATTCATCTATATACATATATATACAAATTCTATTGTACAGAACTAGATAATCGAACTACTGAACAAACTTTAATCACGGTGTTTTTAGCAATATAACTCCAGCTTACGATAAAGAAATTTATACCCACGATATGTAATTAAATCCACAGTAAAAAAACAGAGACTGATACAAATCACATTTTATCACATGCTCCAAGTTCAAAGACTAAAAAAACTCTCCAATGTGAACTGCATTTCAAGTTCAATTAATCAAGTACCAGAGTTGTTTTTTGCATTTCTACTCCTTAACATTCAGATCGCTCGTATAGAAATTATGAGTACTAAATTCGCTTAACTCACCGGAGTCGGTGGCTCCGCCAGGAATGCTGCGGCGAACATTCGATGCCGGAAGTTTCGATTTGAAGGAAGATGACGTACGGAGATTCGGTGCCTTACTCGAGCCGTTTCTGTAAACTCCACCCGTAGCCATCTCACTATATTCTTCTCTTCGATTGAAGAAATGAAAATTTCTCGCCCACAAGACACTCAAAAGCTACCAGAAGGGAAGGGTGTTGCCTGGGAATTAACGGAAAAGGATAAGGTGTTTTTAGTCTTTTCACCGTCGACTCTGAATTCAAAACAAGCGGACAGCATAAAAGTGAAAGAAGGATGCAAGAAGGCCTTGTTTGGTCGGAGCACCAATTCACCACCAATTTGCTCACTGAAGGATAAAATTGGAAAGTTGTGGACTTTTTCAGAGCAGCGACCTTGGTGTTTTTATTTTTTATTTTTTATTTTTTAACTTCTTTTGTTGTCCAAACAGTACCTAAAAGTAAAAATACGAATATGCACCTCTCCGGGCTGGTCTGGATTGTGAAATGACTAAAATGGGCTTCATCATCAGCACGACGTGCTGAAAGCTAAACTGCTTAAAAGTAGTGCGGGCAGTGGTCTTAGCTATTGAATTTTTTCCATGCAACAAAATCAGAAGAAAAAACAAAGTTAAAAATTCATTTTGTTATGTGCCTAAACAAAGTCACAACCCCTCCAACAACAGTGAATTGCTTGTAAAATCAAACAGACAATTCACATGGGCTGTATAAGGTTACAGAAAGCATAATGTGAACTAGTCTCGAGACTCGTCTTTTAATATGAAACAGCACAGAGTTAACGAGACTCTGGTGGTGTAACTGAGCAGTAAAGAATGAAAATATTAACTACTTTAAATTATAGACTTCTAAGACCATGGAATCAAACCCTGCTGTCCAGTTGAAAAAATCTCAAAAGGCACTATACGCCTCAGCATAATCCTCCACCACAACAGCAAGTAGCAAATTCAACACTGATGTTTCTTCTACAAGATACTCACCTCTCAATTATTTACAACTATCGGATTCTAGTGAAATATAAGTTAACAGAATTCAGATCTTGAAAGAAGAATAGTTTATGATAGCGTTGCAACTTCTTTCACGAGGCAGGTCAATTTACATGTCAACCTCACCATCCTGGCTCCAATAATAGAAAACGGGTGTAACTTTCACTATCTATGACATGCTTGCTATCCAACCGAATCTTCTTGAGTGGCTTCATTGTCTTCATCCATTTCATCATCACATCTAGGATTCTTGTCAGCTTGGCCACTACCGACTGTTTCAGCATCTGAAGAACCTTGAGCATCAACTCTGTTTTCATCATCACTATCAGTGCAGTCTTCCGTATCAGAATCAGAAGCAATTTCTCTCTCACCTCGATCTTGATCATCACCACTTCTGGCAGCATGACTGAACTGCTCTCTCAAATCAGGATCAACAATCCCAATCATTTGGCATAGTGCTTGACGTTCATGATTTCGTCTGGCAGCGTCATCCAACTTGGACTGTGGGATGTGTTGACTCTCAGCTACCATACCACTAGACTCATGTAAAGCTGTGGCACCCTCTTCATCGTTGTCTTTACTCATAGGAGAATAATTTTCTCCCTGAACGGAAGGTGCCGTGCTGCACGCCCAGCTACCAACAACTTCTGAAGCCAAAAGTTCAGCTGTTCTGATAGTACCTCCAGCTTCTGTGTCTTCGATTGGGTTCTGATCCTCGAGGGGGCTATTTGGATGGGAGTAATGTGAGGTCTGCTTCCCAGCATTTTCCTGAGCTTCGTCAGCATGGGTTTCATCATCAAGCTGCATTGTATCCCCAGCTAACGTGCTGCTTTTATTTAAATCTATATTCCTGCCAATGTAAAGTCCAGGGCTTTCAGTCTCTAAAACTCGCTCAGTTTCAACATGCTCTCCTTCCAAAATCGGTACCGCTCCAACACTTTCCGTCTCAGGGATTTTCTCAGCTCCAACTGCGTTTCCCTCAGAAATGGGTGCTGTACCAACACCATCAATATCAGAACCAAAGCCACCCTTCACATTACGTTCAACCCCGGTGAATTCTACTTCTTGCGTGTCTTCACCACCTTCTTGGCTTTTGACATTGCAGTCATGCTTCTCGGTGACACTTGCTTCATCACTTGATGACTCAACTTGAACCTTGCCATCTCTATAGGCAGATGTACTGGATCCTGCCTTGCCAGCATTATTACTTTGATATTCCACTTCTTTTTTTCTGATCAGTGGTCCTTTAACGTTAACAATATTTGGATCGAGGTCAATATCAACTGAAGTAGTCTCATAATTCTCTTCATCTTCTAGTGTCCTTTGCATCGACTTAAGCTGTTCCTGCTGCTTTGCAAACAACACAGATATCTCCTCTGTCGTAGAATAGAAAGCCCGAAGCTGCGTTTCACTGCACCAAAGTGAGGTATAGATAACCATTACTGAAACTTGGGTACTCAAATTTGGGAAACATTAAAGATGCATCACAGACAAATCAAGCTCCTCGCAGAAAAATTTGTAATATTCATGGCCAGCCAATTCATACTCGTATAAGTCCAACTTGAGTAGTCCTATTAAAAAAACTTGACGAGAGGAGAGCCAGCAAGAACCTTCTTCCAATTATTATTATTATTATTATTATTTTATTATTATCTGACTCAACATGCCAGATAATCATAGAATTATTTAATAGTTCAAAAAATTTCAGAGAACACGTTGAACTGAAATTACATATTGCGGGCCTGGAAGGAGGGTTGGGGTTGTTTAAATGTCAACCAAACAATTATGACACTCCCTTCACTAGTTAATAAAAATTGTAACATAACAAAACCAAATACCACACCCCAACATTTGAAACTTCTTCGAGCGTTAAAATGAAAAGGACAAATGATAAACCAGCAAAACAGTGGAAGAGCAGTCAGCCCTGTCTGGAAAAGTGGGGAATTTTTGTCTCTTACTTTCTTATAATCATTTATGGTAACATGCTAAATCAACAAATCATTATAAGCAGAGCAGTCAACATGCTGTCTGGGAACTGGGAAGATGAGGAGTTTCTGTTTATTACTTTACTATTATTATTTCAAATCTTAGTCCTCGATTGATACCCATATTTCCAAAATACATTTTTCTTTCTTCTTTTCAACCGTACATTATTCAATAAAATAATATTACATGTAAACCCAAAATTTTTCCTTATTTTTTAACCACACATTCTCTATCAATCTACTATTCCAAAATGCATTCTATACCAAAAATAGAGCTCAAACAGGCACTTAACAGGTTAAATCAACATATTATACGATTCACTTATTGCTTGTGGGAATTGTGGGATCTTACCGCAGCATGATTCTTTCCCTAGCCCCTTTTAGTCTACGCCTCTCAAAATCAAGATCCCGCATTGCAGAATTGATCTCCAGTTCAAGAGCAGACACCTTTGCCCATGCTTCTTCACGAGCCGCCTGCTACAACAGCAAGGAAAACTCAGTTTGAAAAACACAAACCCTTTGTCAATGTGCAAATTACCATTTTTGGGACTATATGGTTCTGTAGATAAAACTTCAACATAAATTCTAAAACCTAGCACATGCTACCCCCAAATTGGTCCATATAATTCACATGCAAAAGTGACAGCCATCCGTCGCGTGTATGCCAATTTTACACCAACACAAAGTGACTTCCCCTCCCAACCCCAACCCCCGCCCCCATGCTCTTCCCTCTTTGTTATGTAGGTATACATTATTTTTTAATTTACTTCATTTTACAAGTAGCATTTTATATGCATTTTATTTAATTGAAAAGTAGATCAATGGCTGTAAGAGTTGTGGTTCTTGTAGAGATTCACTTATAAAACTGCAAATCCTACCTTCTCGTGCTCAAGTTCTTTCCTCAGTCTTTTCCTTTCATGCTCAAGTTCTTCCACCTTCTGTTGTAAGTGATATCATCATGGCACAGAGGGAATGATTAGACGATTTAGATAGTAGAGTATCAAAGCAGGCAACAGGAAACAAGTATACTTTTCTATTGCTGGCAAAAGCACGCTGCTCCTCACGAATTTGAGCCTCCAGTTGGCGAACTCTATTATCAGAAGAAACCAATTTTTCCCTGGTGTCTTCCTGCCATTCAAAGAAACATGATTATACTCCAAGATGAGACATTGACAAATGATGAAAATATGTATAGCTATAACATACCAATTTGGACCTCAAAGTTTCCACTAATGAACACCTTTCCTTCTCCGCTTCCTGGAATCAAAAACGGCAAAACAGGTAAAATAAATAATTGCCATAAACTTGAAAAAGCAACAATTACAAAATAAATCAAAATTTGTACCTGAAGCTTATTTATAATTTCTTGCTGCTCTTTCTCTCGTCTCAATGCAGCATCTGATATTCGTTTAGTTTCCTCCTCAGCCTCAGCCTGAACTCTCTGCATCGATGCTTTCATATCTACTGCAGATTTCTCTCGCTCTTCTCTTCTCTGATCACGTTCTTCATCTAATAAGGTTTTTAATTCAGAGATAGATGTCTGCTGGCTGAACCAATCAAACATAAATTAAAATTCATCCTCGCCCCTTGAAAATATTAATTCTCTTTGATTTTCTCATAATAACTTATAACACAATAATTTTGAGGTACAATGTTCAGATTTGAGCTAATTTGCAATATTTACTGAAGAAGTAAAGATGTGCTATAATTACCAAAAGGAGATTCTCACTGGCCCTGTAGTTAGTTTTGGCAATTATTTTCTGAAACATCTTAAATTTTGACATCCAAACAACAAAAAACAGATAGCATTCCCACCCTTCCCACAAGAAACCAGGTGAACTTTGACCAGAAAGTCCTGTAATAAATTGAAATATTCTAGCAAATTCTACGAAAAAGGAAGCTTCTTTAAGCATGATCTACAGAACCCAATGAAAGTAAGAAAGCAGATTATAATCAGCAGTAGCATTTTCCATCAATTTAACCCTTCAAGATTATTATAAACCTCACCTATTAATTATTTCATTTGCTTCAACACATGACTGCACAGATGCACTAAGTCTTTCATTAAGGTCTTCAATGCTATGTTTTTGTTCAGAAGATATTCTATTTAACTCTGTTAGTTCCTTCTCTTTAGCCTCCAAAGACTTGCGCAACTCACTGAGCTGATCGATATAAGATTTTGAAACTGATTCTTTCAACTCTCTTATTTCCTGCAAAAGCTCAAATCATCATCCATGGCACTGACAGAAACACGTGTCAAACATGACAAACTGCAGGAAAGAAGCCCTCAAGTGAAGGAATATGGTTACACAGATTTATTCCTTACACAAATGCCCAAATAAGGAACTGCATTCTCTTTTTGTGGCCCACAAAGGGGGTGAGATAAAGCTCACAAGAGGGCGTGGATTATATACAATTTTGAACTATATAAATTAAAAGTATTTTGAGCACGTTTGGGGTGGCTTATAAGAATGCTTGTAGACCACCCCAAACATGCTCTTTGATATGTTCCTGCTGCTTTACAAAAAACTTTAGAACAGCAAGAGAGAAACATATCAAGATTTTTTACGGTAATTTGCTAAAGATAAGCTACATAACCATGATTTTTTATGAGCAAACTTTTTGATGAAGTTATTCAATGATAAAGTACAGTCTAATTGACAAGAAGGCAGCTCCATCACTAATACCTAAGACAATCTTACATAAGGCAGAAGCCGAATAATACTTGGATAGTCACCCAAATAATCCACGACATACGCAACTAGAGCAACAAGGAAAACCAGAAAGGAAGAGGATAAAATGCCCGTGCGAGACATACAATTTCATGGCACTCACTAGCTGCACGGTTCTCCCTGCGCAATGATTCAATGGTTACAACTTGGTTTTCGAGAAGTTTCCTCAGATCCTGCATATGCATTTATATTTTATTCATATAAAAGTGAATCCAGTCTGGACTGACAGAAAATTTGAGGTAACAATTAGAACAGTTCAACAATGCAGATATACCGTGTTTGAACGTTGAAGGCTCCGAAAATCGTTAAGAGAGATTGGTCCATCAGAAGCACCAATTCCAATTCCTTTTGTTCTTTTGCTCTCAGCACCAAACTCCTCTTTAGAAAAACATCAACTAAGCTATAAGTACAAGAGAAGCACATATCGTGTCATCCATGCAGAACTTAAGCATGTATTCCAGATGTACCAATGTTCGGTAATACTAATACCTTAGAACATCAGTTCCTCAATTAAAGTAGTAATAACATCAACAAAGAAGAGAACATCATTCATCAAATAAAGCCATTGAATACTGATAATAATACAACCAATTATGCAGATTGTTTATCCAGAAGGAAGTTATTTTCTTTGAAACGTTAGCTAATTATTATTTACTCAGTCTCCTAAAAGAGACTTTATTTTATCTCAATTTTCTGTAATGTATATCTATAAATATAACTAAATTCAACCTCATATATTACCATGCGATAGATCATTTTTCCAGCAAACATATAAAAATTAGGGTGACTAGAAATATAACCCAACCAGCTTTCAACAAATAAAAAGTTGAATTAATGTCGGGCATGCCTCCTATATACATAAAGAGCCATATGTGTAATCTCAGTGACAGGAGACAACATCATGCTTAGCCCTTGTTTTGTGAGGATTAAAATCAAATTTTTAGTAGATTTTAATAGAAGTTCATGAAATGTGTTTTTCAAAAGTTGTGAGACCCATAAAATGTGGTTAAAATTATTTATTGACTTTAACTTAGATTAAAATCTAGATTTTAATTGATGCCAAACAAGGGCTTAAAGATTCCAAAACTAGTGATATCAAACATAGAAATTGAAAAAAATGCTAGCAACTTAGGATCCCTGCATTACTTAGCCCATGTTTGGTATTAATTTAAATCAAATATTAATATTAGTCAAAGTCAAACAATTAACATTAACCACATCTTTTATGGATTCTACAACTTTTCAACTACACATTTCAAAAACTTTTTTCAAAATCTACTAAAAATCTGATTTTACTCCCAACCAAATACGGGCGGCTTAATAGTGTTTCTGTAACGACCCAACCTCTGTGCCCAATCCGTTAACCAGTACCAGGATTCAACTTAAATATCTCTCAAGAAGAGATCACGTGTTCAAATCATGAGGACGCGATAAAAATCCGTAAGGAATAAGATAGGTTCAAGCTCTCCTAGAGTGGACAATACATATGATATAATAGGTTGGGTAGAGATCGTGTTGTAACAAAAAACGCGCATTTTTTGTAATAACTTAAGCCTCATGCCCGATTATTCTCCTTAAGTAATATCGACTTTGGGATTCAACTTAAGTCTCTCTTAAGCAATGGTTATATGTTCAAATCCTGGAGATGCAATATAAATATGTGAGGGGTTAGATGAGCTTAAAATTTTCCAGAGCGGACAATACATGAGAGAACGGCTGGGCGCGAAACTTGGTCGTTATAGTTTCAGCAATACTAGCACAGGTCTGTTTAAAGTAAAATACAAACTCATTAGAGTATCATCACAACAATGACTTTTGATTTCGATTGTCAGCAAATTTACTTGACACTTACATACTTTTCTACTTCATTCAACTCACAAAGCCTAATTTGATACTTCTCTACATTTGGGTAAATGGATCCATTTATTCTTTTTTACTCCCTCACAGGTCATTTCCATGGTAAAATTTCATAAGCTACATCCTTTTCAGTTACATAATTCAATGCTATTTTAGGCCGAATTCTTCCCCTAACCATATTAATATATTCCGTCACAAATTTAACTTCAATACATTTTACCTAGACATATTCACAGATATCCTAATTTCTCAGCATCTCTTCTAGGTTCACCACAAACCTATCTTAGCAAATATCATTTCAACCATATTCGATCACGTATATGTTGTTTCTTTGCAGCCCACTCTGTTAGCATCCTTGGTCTTTCAAAACAAAAGATTTTACCTGCCTTCCTCTTCAGATGTCCACCATCAATTGCGAGAGCGGGTTTCTGAACTTCTCGAAATACAAAGGCAAAAGCAAGCTCTGCAAACATGTCGGAGAAGGGAAAAAGAAGTCAAAACTCAAGTGTAAAAGAACATTAGTATATAGAATACAGACAACGTTACAAACAAGCTATAAACAAATACACCCATGATCAGAAAGACTAGCTGCATTAGGGAAAATACAACAAGAGATTGTGAATTTTTTGCAATAAACACTCTGATTCGCAGATTTTGAAATTGGAACTGCAAACATAGTGTTTTCATCATTAGGACCTAAGCCTAGAAAAGACATAAGGTAATTCAGAAGACAACTTTAAGACGGAAAAAGGAAAATAGCTAGTAAAAAGCACAAGAAAAGAAAATTTGCAAGGATGAAAATGAGTCGAGGATGCTAGCAAAATGAGTGGATGGAGAGCAGAGGCTAGATAAACTGAGACAATATGAGGCGGGATGATTCACTAACACTTTGTGACATTACTTATTACATGTCTAAAAGTCCTTGAGAAAAACAAGAACAAAGAAAACAAATGTTTAAATATTATAAATGACAGAGGCATCAAATAACTTTCAACCAAAGAAACAGTTTCTGTCCAGTAGCCAATTAGGCTCTCACTGTGGTTTAAAACGAGCTAGATCCGAACTAGTTTTTGACCAAAAAAAAAAAAAGGGAACACTCATGATATATGCATTCGGGAGTTATTCAAGGGCTTGGGATAAAGAGACTTTATTAACACAGGTAGCAAAATGGATGTTTTTGTTTAAGAGAAAAGTGGACAACCCATGAATAACTGAATACCAGCAACAGAACGTTTTTGTTTCGTGGGACAAGGGAAAACAATTTTAGCAATGACAAGTGTATATTTAACCAGGAAGGAAGTCAAGGTACACCAACAAAACTTAAATAGCATTTGCAAATTGAGGATGGACTTATAAATAATGTAAAGCTAGGCTAAAAGGTAGGTACAACTGTACAGCTTCACCTAAAATGATACACTCAAATAAGAATTAACTTTAAAAAGCTAAGCACCAACTTTACCATGTTGTGGAGTAAAAGCTATTGAGATGATGTCCCCATGACGCAGTTTTGCTTCAGAGCTACTTTTGTTCAACTTCTCCCAGTTTAAATATGTTCCATTCGTGCTGAGGAAAGATTAAACGTCAAAAAAAATCTCTAGACCAGATTGAATAAAGAAAGGTTGACAAATTAACATACAACCTAGAATCTTTCAGGAAAACAGAAGTACAATTGTTGGAGAGATGTTTCATGTCATCAGTAGCAACCTTCTTCCGGTAAATCTTACAATGATATGCGCTAACTGCAGGTGAGATAATCTGGAATCGGGAATCATCTACTAATCGACCAAGACAGTGTTCATCTGAAGTCAGAAGCAAATTCATGCCCTGTTATGGCAATATGTCAGTCAATCCTTAAATCGCATCTTTGTTGCAAAGGCTTTCGTCGCAATATGAAAAGCTTAAAAGGGGAAGAGTGTAGGTCAGTGCCCAAAATAGAGGCCAAAACAGTGGTTATAGCACTGATCAAAATCTGATAGAGTTCAGAGCTACAGTTACAGCAAAGATAAAGTTTTAGGTACTCAGATAGATTCTCAATTATATGTTCTAAGTTGTTTCACTTGTCATGTATATTAATATTGACAGATTGGAACAAGATCCAACGGATATTCCAATGATAATATTAATATTATTTTTAATATTTTTTCTTAACTTCTTGGTTATATTTTCTAAATTGTTTTGCACGTCATGCGCATTAACATTTGCAGATTGCAAGACACTCCATATAATCACATAGCCCCTATTTGGTTCAACTAAAAAAGTTTATTGAGATCCAAGTCAAAGTCAACAATTAATTTTAACTATACACTTCATGGGACTCACAACTTTTCAAGTATACATTCCATCAACTTTCATTAAAACCTACTAATAGCCTGATTTTTATCTAAACCAAACAGAGGCATAATATTGTTTTTTCTTAGATAACTAACTAAAAATGGTCACTCATAAACTATGTCAACAATTAATATTTTGCGAGTCTTACATATTCTCAACAAGAATTTTCAACAATGTGCATTCATTAATATCTAATGTTTCTTATATATACAAAACACCATAAACCACAAAAACATGGAATCAAAACTAAGCAGCATAAGTTCATCTATTGCAGTAATTGATCAAATCAATTAGAAATGCACGCCAGTAGAAGGTTTTGCCATAAGTATGGAAACTTTTACAAACGACAAAGATTTCCTAGAACATCTGTTGATACCACCTTTTCAATTTTATTATAAACCAATGGTAAGACTTCACATCCAAATTTCCCTCTAGAGCCCCAAAAGATTGGTTTGAATACTGAAAGATAAAATGGGGCAGAGCAATAACCTTCACTAATTACAGATGTACAGTTAATTATCAAGAGATTAAGGCTTCAATAGCACACAACTTTTACGTATAAAAATCATTAACTTAAATATGTGGATTCAAATATTAACCTATACTGAATTTAGTACACCATGAATAAATAAACAAATAAATCGTAGAAACAAAAAAAAAAAGACGTGAACATGTTAAGAGTATTGGAAAAGTCCAAAATCATTTCATTGTAAGACTTTGTAAAAGCAAATTATTTGCAAAATCTCTGATTAAACAGGGTGAAGTCAACCTCAATACAAAAATAATTCACTCACAAAGTTACCAATTGCAGAGGAAAAAACAAAAAAAATGCTTCTTGCTTGTGTTGGCACTGCAGAATTGTTTAAAAAGCACAATTACTAATTTTACCCTCTACAAAGAGGGTTCTTTTTTTTTTTTTTTTTTTTTTTTTTTTTTATTTTATTTTCCCCCCCAAAAAAGGGTTTTTTTTTTTTTTTTTTTTTTTTTTTTTTTTTTACGTCATAACATTGCCAACCAGAGTGTGAATATTGTTCACATTAAAATACCATACCGCCTTCAGGTTCATTAAAAGATAAAACTTGAAAGTTCTATCTGAAATTTCAGAAAACTACATGATACAAATTGAGAAGTGTAACAGTGAACACCTAAAAAGAGTAAGATTAAGGATTTGTGCAGTGGTAACAAACATGAAGCCACTAATGCAGGTGCTTCACCGAAGTCAGATAAAAATTTCTCTCTCTGCAAACTACAATATAAAAATTCCCATTGCAAGCTATGGTTGAACTTCAAGAATCTCTCATACTGAACTTATCAAAGAATTTCAATATGAACACTGAAGTCAGAAGTTTTCCGCAATGCACACCTCAATTTGCGAAATTATTACCTTTGGCAATGCAGGGTAAAAAAAAAATGAAGACAATTACTCAAGATCCCAGTGAAAATTACAGGGTGCAAACTGAAAATATCGTAAACTAACGTATTAACAAAAAAATCAATAATTTTTAAGCCGCGGTGAACCTGGTGGCGCTTCCGGGCCTTCTCAGATATTGCGGTGAGCACGCCCCAGACATCCGGATCGGAATATTGAAGCGGCTGAGAAGCAAAATTTGCAGCCACTGATAATATGAACTCTTCAGGACTCTCTGCATTTTTTGAGAGAGGCGAACTACTGTTATCATTGTTCTTGTTATTGGGATTATTATGATTGCTGGCATTGCGGTGTAGATGGGAAGAGCTGGACTGGGAGAATACGGGAGATTGTTGGGCAGTTTTCGGGGTCGGATTCGGGCTGGGTATCGAAGCCTGTGGAGTGGTCGGGTTGTCTTCCTCCTTCGCCATTTAATTGCAGACACTCGAAGTGTATTACTGTGTGAAAAGGGTTTGGTAATGGCGGGGATTTTGAAACCCTAGTTCTTATTTGATTTCTGGGTTGTTGCGTGTTGGGGAAGAGAGGAGTGATTTTTTTTATTTTTTTTTTAATTTATATTGAACTATGCCACTTTAGGGACATTTTTCTAAATGGTCTATCACTGTTCCTTTTTATGGAAAGGTCTATATTTTTCTTAATGAAATGATTTTTTCTATATTGTAATATATATTTTAATCTTTTAAATATTTTATCTTGTATTTACTCTATTTTGAATATTTGAATATAAAATCATTCTATGATCTAATAAATAAGAATAATCTACAACATAAAAATCATATTTGTTAAGTAAAATACTATATCCTTCAAATGGTAAATTTGTATTTTTTAACTGCAATATAATATTTTTTATTTCTTCTAACATTTTTTCTAATAAATTATCTAATCCTTCAATTATATATCTTGACATTTATCAAAAATAATCATTATGCAATTATCCCTGTGATTCTTTTAAAATCTTAAAAAGATTTATTCTAATTTTAGCAAAAATTTAATAGTTTTACCTTAACTTTGGTCTAGACTTGTATTCTTAGAGCCAAGTGACCTTCGAGCTCTGAATTTGTAAACTGCTTCCTTTAACGGCTTCCTGCCTTCACGAAATTGTTACTATTTCAGTTGCTTACTCTCATTGTATCAACTTCTAAAGAATATAATTCTAGACTTTTGTTAAAGAAAACTCTTTTTTTTTTGCTAAAATAAGACGGAAACTTTCTATCAGATCTTTCAAGAATCTATGGGAAAAAGGTTTAGAAACTTATATTGATATCAAATTATTGGAATTTTATTTCTACTGAAATTGGTACAAGATTTCTATTTGGTACAAAAGAATTTCCAGAAAAACTGGTGTTTCTAACTGGAAATGATTATAAAAGTGGCTATTGCTTACAACACGAGATTTCAAGATAGGATGAGATGCCTTTATCTATGTCAAGACATCTCTATTTATACAAGTTTTTGAGATCCTATTATATCATTGAATACATCAGCAAAGGCACACTTGCCTCTCTATTTTCTTTCTTGGGCCTACATCTTCACATGTTGGTTCCACTTTTCCATCCAAAGACCATCTTTTCTATTATTGCTCCTTATCTTCAATGTCTTCACATGTAGTATTATTGTCCTTCATACACCTTTGTTAAAAGGTGCTTGTCCTCTTCTTTTATTTTTTCACATGCAGTTGGAGCACTCCCTTAGCTAGCAAGATTCTTTTATAGTGGTAGGACATCTTGAAAATTGATGTATATCAAATCTTATAATACAATCTTTTAAAATTTCTAATTTTTCATAACCTCCATTGGATACCAGCATCCAATTTTCATATTGGCACAAGTATGAGGATTTTTTATCAAATAAATTTTTGGCAATGTCTGATCCATGACTTTGTTACTGTTGGAATTTTCCTATTAAATTCTGTGACATCAATTTGAAAATTAGCTACAACATATCCAATTGAGATTATATGTTCAACTGGATAATAAACAACTCCATCATATTCTGAACTTATTGAATAGAATTTCAAAAATATCTTCCTTCCTCTGGCAAATCTGAAAACTTCTTTAATGAGTATATCATCAAATTTTGAAATTTCAATAAAATCTTTCCCTGGGTAAATCAGATCCATGAATCCATAATCTGTCATAATTTTTATGAATGAAGGTCTCCTCCTTCCATCGCTGTTATTTTGGGATAAACATTATTTCCTGGAGAAATGAAATATGAATCCATTATCTTCATTTCATAAACGATTTTGACTATTTGAGCATATTTTTCTTTGTTTGGATCTAAAGGGACTTTATCTTCTTGGTCTATGAAATTGATTATTTTGGTATGTCTTTTATCCCCATGTATCATAATTTTATTGGTTGATGATACAGAAATGGAATCTCCTTTATTTTCAGTTGGTATGTTGTCACGTCTGGGTCCACTGCTACTTCCAGCTGTCCCTGTTTGGTATTGATTTGGAAAACACATTTCTGAGCTCTTTGGTATATCTGTTTCAAACAGTATATCTTTTAGTTGTGCTGCAATATTATCAACTTGATTTTTGAGTTCAATGGCATATTTATGATGTTCAGTGGTAATGTTCAACAATATTTTCATATTTGAATCGAACATTTCTGAGATCTGGGTTGCTCCAGAACTTATATTTTCAGATTCTTCCTTAAGAAAATTTGTTCTTTCTTATATATATAGAATGGATTGGTATAACTCCATGGTCTTGACTTTATCCATCAGCAAATTCTATTTTTCTGCTAAGAAAATTATTTACTCCTTTAATATGGACTATATCAAAATTATAGAATGCTAAATAAGCTTGCCATCTATGGAGCCTTCTGTATTGGAGTTCTGGTGGTAGTTTATTTCTGACTAATCCTGCAACTTGAGAATTATCGGTCTCAGCAGTAAATTTCTTGGATAATAAGAATAATGAGAACTTTTTTATTCCTATAATAATTGCTAATAATTCTTTCTCATGAGTGGTATAATTTATTTCTGCTTGGTTAAAGGTTCCACTTGAATATCTACAAATCTCATTAAGATCTGTTTTTAATATTACTGCCCAATATTTGTTTGAGGCATCAGTATTAACAATTAAATTATTTTTTTCATCTAGTAATCTTAATTTTGGTAAATTTTTACACTATTCTTTTAGGGTGTGTTTGATTACATATATTTTCCATGGAAAATATCAGTTTTTCACTCAAATTCCTATTTGGAGTGTTTGATTGCTATTTTTTTCCATGGAAAACATTTTCCAACTTTTGAAAATATGCCTAATTTTCTTTGTTTTTAAGGAAAATATTTTCCTTGGGTAGAGGTGGTTTTTATTTTCCACAAAAGATGGAAAACATTTTCTTTTCTATGTGGTATTTTCCATGTCAATCAAACACACTCTTAATGATTTAACTATTTCTGTATGTTCTTCATTCCATCCTTTAGTATTTGTTTTCCTAAATAAAATTTGAATTTTATGTCTTTTCTTAGAAAGATTTGCAATAAATCCTTCAACATAATTTAAACATCCTAAAAATTTTTGTATTTGTTCTTTAGATTCTAATTTATTTGGAAACTTTCTATCTTTTTAGATATATGAGTCTGTAATTTTATCCCTTTTTTATCTATTGATAATCCAAGAAAATCTATCTCTTCTTTTTCTATTATAGATTTCTTTTTAGATAAAACAATTCCTTCTTTTTTACATTTATTTATAAATTGGATAAAATGATTTCTATGTTCTTCTTTGCTATTAGAACATGTTAATATATCATCTATGTAAACAATTAGAAATTCATTAAACTTTTTAAATATATTATCCATTTTCCTTTGATATATTTGTGGTGCGTTTTTCAAACCAAATGGCATAACTAACCAATCATATTTTCCTTGAGATGTGCTGAATGTAGTATATTGTATACTATTTTACTTGCTAAAATCCTGATTTACAATCAAATTCAGAATAACATTGTTTTCCTCTTGTAAGATTTATTAATACTTCTTTATTTGGTAAAAAGTAACCATCAAATTTAGTATATCTATTTAATTCTTTATAATTTATAACCATTCTAATTTCTCCTCTAACTTTTTCAGAATGTTTCATAACCAGAAAGGTTGGACTACTATGAGGTCCATTGCTAGGTCTAATAAGTTTTTGTTCTAACAATTCTTTTATCTGATTTCTTGTGTATCTTCTATAGTATACATCATTGATCTGACTCTTATTATAATATTTTCTGTTAATTCTATTTTGGCTTTTGAATGGTGTGGTTTCCAAAATAATAATGGATTCTCTCTGTAAACCTTTTCTAGTTGTTCAATGATTTTTTCTATACTCATTTCTATTCCTGTTTTTAGAAATTTTTTTATATATTATTCTTTTATTTTTTATTTCATTATGTATGATTGATTTTTTTCTCTCATTTATCACCACGCTGGGCTGGCTGAACTCTATAAGGTTTAAATTCTCTAGAAATTTTTAATAAGTGTGTATAAGATGTTTGTAGCATTATCATATAATTATTTTGTCTATAGTATTGAAATTGTTATATGAAGTCATTTCCTAATAATATATCACATTCTAGTTTATCATATTTATATACTTTATTTATTGTAACTTGTTTACTTCCAAGAATTATATTTACTTTATCATTACTATTAATTATTTGAGTGCTTTTTCCTGTAACTGTAGTTATTTTTATATTACTATTATTATTCCATGATTTTATTAAAAAGTTTCTAAATATTGTTATATAACTTCCTATATCTATTAAAGCACATGTTGTTATATTTGTTTCTACAATAGTAATTTGTATATATACAGCTAATGGAAAATTTATCTAATTATTCATCTAATATTTTTTTACATAGTGTAGTTTGTCCATTATGAACAATATATAATCCTTCTCTTTTTATACTATAATCTTCTAATCCATTTAAAAAACTCATTGCTAAAAGTACATGGGGGTTTATATCCATACTCCTATCTATGTAACATGGTACTAAAAGATCTATTCCTCCTATTTTTATTGGTACCTTAACTTCTAAATCTGTAATATGTACTTGTCCATCAAAATTTACATACTTATATGGTTCAGTTTTATGAGTTATTAATCATTTATTTCTGATTGAAGTTATATGATAATCACTAGCTCCTGTATCTATTAATATATTAGGTCCATTTATATGTTCTCCTCCATTGTAATATTCTCCTTCTATCTTCATATTTCCAGCATTCCTATAGAGTTTTATTTCTTTTATTTTATTGATTTCTTCTAATTAATTTTTATCAGGTATTTTAAAACTTTTTGATCTCTTAATTAATTTCCCATCTTTAAACGTTATATTATTAGAACATTATCTTTCATTTAATTCTGTTATTTCAGGTTTATTTTTTTTTATACTAAATTCATATTTTTCTGGAATCAAACTTATTTGTTTATTTGGTTCTATTATTTTACTAATATCTTTACATTCTTTATGAACTTCAATATATGGTTTATTAGAATAAATATTCTCATAATTAAAATTGGTAAATGTATATAAAG